TGTCCAACCAGCTGAGCTACGCTGATCAGGGCAGCACCTTATGTTTCTAAATCTTGTTTTTCTCATTTTACAAAGTAGAAATAACTGAAATACTGACCTCACAAGATTGTTGTCAGGAAGGCACTTTGCACAGTGTCTGGTGGTTATATATCCAGGCTCTTAAAAAATGAGTGCTGTGTGGTTCATAGATAGTCTGCAGGAGTGTTTTATTCATGTGTCAATTACTTTTCTTCATACTGAGAAAGCTGTTGAACATTCTATGTTTCCTTCAAGTTCAGGCTCAAATGTTAACCTCTCTGAAGCTCTCCCTGCCCTGTAAGGAGGAGGAATGCGGGGTCAGAGCGGCCTGGACAGAGGCGCGGCTTGTTCTGTCAGGCTGGCTCTGCCTGTGACCTGATCCTCTCAGGGCCTCAGGGTCCCCATCTGTCCTTGGGGGATGTTGGGCTGGCGAGGCTCCAAGGTCCACTTCGGCCTCGACAGTTTATTCTTCTGCTTTGGGTATTGAAGTTGAGCATTTGGTGCTGTGCACAGACCTGGCCCTTTAGGATTTACTGCTGTGTTTTTAATCTTGACCTTCTGCTCCAGGACCAGCTCTGCTTCTCCTTGTTGGCCCTCTATAAGTCTGTACAGAATGGAGCCAGAACTAGACAGCCCCCACCTCATCTCACAGGGGGTAAAATCTACAAGGTGTGCCCCCATCAGGTAAGAGGATAACGAGGAGGAGTTTGGGGTGAGTTTGCGCATGACACATTGCCCACAGTCTGATGGATTCAGTTCATCCTGTGGGAGTTGACACTTCGCTGACTGGGACACATTTTAGGCGAGGCGCGGAACCTCGGTTTTGTCAGGGAGTATTTGTTAAGTACCGTTCTATGTGCTGACCCCTTTGTCAGCTGTTGAAGGTACAAACGTGAGTAACCATCTCTTTCCTTCCTAGTTGACCTCATTGTAGTGGGGAAACAAAGTCGCACGGGTTGTCGTCAAGGGCCTGAGATAGGCAGTGATGGTGAAGAACCTGCTGTCCATTAGGCAGCCAGAGAAGGCCGAGAGCCCTAGTGATGGACTAGGGAAGGAAGGCTCCAGCTGAGGAAGAGCGAGCCCTAAGCCCTGAATGGGGGAGCCTAGTGAGCCAAGAGATGGGAGGTTGCAGGGGTCACCAGAGGCCACATCGTGTAAGGCTTTGTAGGCCAGAGTAACCATTTGTTTTATTTCTTTTTCTGAGAATGATGAGGGACCTGCTGGGTGAGGTTGAGTGGGAAGGGGGCGGACATGGTCTGAGTATGGTTTTAGGAAGATCACTCTGTCTGTAGAGGGTGTGGACAGGTAGGTGCCAGGATCACTCCAGAAAGGTCGTGCTGTATGACAGAGGCGGCCCAGGAAGACACTAGAGTGTACACCCCATGAACAAGCGCTGAATGGGGGGAGAGGGGGATATGTGAGGGCAGCCTAGCTGTCAAAAGAGAATCAGGTAGTCAACTCCTTTAATAAAAGCTGTGTCTGAGGGAGATGCTGGATGCTCAACCCTGGCATGTCAGAGCCTGCTCAGAGGGTTGTGATTCTGTGACTGTGACCGTCTCATGACAAGCCCTTGACAACAAAGGGACAGACGTGAGAGTTAGTGATCTCAGGGCTCCGATGGGAGAGTCGTATCACTTGGAGGCAGTAGCCAGGCCTGGGCGTGAAGGTGGAAGGTGGAAGCGAAGGCAGAATTCTCCAGTGTGCGCGCAGCTGCCTGGCAGTGCAGTGGTCCTGGGGGTCCTGGCAGGGCAGGTGTTTGCCAGCCTGCGTCAGGGTCTGGTGGGGAGCTGCTTGGAGTGCTCCCACCCCAGAGGCTTCTTTAAGTCTGAGGTAAGGCCCAGGAACCTCTGTTTTAACCAGCTCTTAAACTGCCATGCCATGCAGCCAGGATTGGGAATGACTGGGCTGGATGGTGGTACTGGGTAGTGTCCCGGGGGGGGGGGGGGAGATGTTGGAACAGATGGCCTGGGGGTTTTTCAGCCTCAGCTGAAGATTCGATGCTCCCACCTCTTCACTCAGGAGGTCAGGGATGAGCTGGTGACTTCATTTAGGGACAAAAGTAGGAGGGAAGCTGACTCTTAAAGGCTCTGGAAGGATGGCTGTGGTTTCAGTTGTGAAATATGATTGTTCATCTTCCTGAGAAGAAGCCATTTGAGGACTCGACTCTGTCTGCAGATCGGCTCTCAGTCCTGTGCTGTGCCTCATCTCTGCCCCTAGGTGGTCTGCGGCTCCAAGTATCTTGTGCGGGGCGAGAGTGCCCGTGACCATGTGGATCTGCTGGCCTCCTCTCGCCATTGGCCGCCTGTCTACGTGGTAGACATGGCCACACCAGTGGCCCTGTGTGCTGACCTCTGCTACCCAGAGCTGACCAAACAGATGTGGGGGAGGAACCAGGGCTGTTTCTCTAACCCCACGGAGCCGCCTGTGGTGAGTTTTCTTCTGGGGACCTGGAATAAATTCTGCAGGCCGACCATGTCTTGCCCTCTAGTTCTTCAGGAACCTTGTCTCCAGCATCTTTTCTCCTTCAGTTTATTGTCTTAATGCTTTGGGACCAGCATTCACTCCACAGATTTTTACTGACCAACCCCTGTGTGTGTGCGGCCACAGCATGTCACTGAGGGTGCCCAGAGTATCCCAAACACAGGGATCTTCGGGGTCAGGGTTGCCTTCCTGATAAGCCTGGAAAATTGCCACCTTTGAGAGCCATTGTGGACACTGACACACTGAATGCCCCACCCAGCCCAGTCCTGGATGTAACCGTGGATACACTGTGTAGCATGTCATGACCTGGAGGCACCACAGCTTAGAAAACACTGACCGTATCCAACCCTCTCCTTTTGTTGAAAAAGGACAGTAAGGCCCACAGGGGGAAATGGATTTGTCCGGTGTCACACAGCGTGTCAGTGACAGAGCCCTTGTCTCTGTGTTCTTCGTACATTGTACCAAGCCATAGTTCCTACCAGAGGCATGTGCCCTCCAGGGCCAGCCAGCTGTACCCTCTGCAGGGAGAAACACTGGGATGGTGACAGGGGATAGGTCATCATCGTCATCACTTGCTCTGTGCGCTTGTGCCAAGCACCACAGGAGGCGTTTGAGCTTCAGTGGGAGCCACTTTCTCCTCGCTGCCCTGCAGCCCTGCCTCAGTGGACAAGGCACAGTACTAAACGGAGGCAGCTTAGGGAATCCCACCCCTGGTGTGGCGACTGTCGCCGTTCTCACATGAGGAAACAGGCACAGAGAGGGAGAAGTGGGGACTTGCCCTGGGGGACACAGTATGTGTTGATGTGAGGGTTTAAAAAGGGCTGATGACCCCGCAGCCTTCACCCTCATCCACCATGCAGATCCCGCCTTAGTCGTTCCGTCATGTTGAAGTGGCTTCTTATCTCTCTTTCAGAGCGTATCCTGCCCAGAGCTCTTGGATCAGCATTATACTGTAGACATGACGGAGGCCGAGCACTCCGTCCAGCACCCAGTCACCAAGACTGCCACACGGCGCATCGTCCATGCAGTCACACCACCCAGTCCTGGCGACCCCAGTGCTGGGCACCACTCTTTGGCCCTGTGTCCCGAGTTGGCACCCTACACAGCTGTCCTGGCCTCTCTCCCAGACAGCAAACCGAACAGTGTCCGCCAGCGGCCCATTGCCTTCGACAATGCCACCCACTATTACCTCTACAACCGCCTCATGGACTTCCTCACCAGCCGCGAGATTGTCAACCGGCAGATCCACGACATTGTGCAGAGCTGCCAGCCTGGCGAGGTGGTCATCCGTGACACCCTTTACCGCCTGGGGGTTGCTCAGATCAAGACAGAAACAGAGGAGGAGGGTGAGGAAGAGGAGGTGGCCGCAGTGGCAGAATAAGCCAGGCTCTTATACTAGGACTGCACCATCTCTCTCAAGCCATAGAGAAGCCCTTCCCCGAGGCGACCCGCCCAGGGCACCGGGAGCACGCGCCTGTGGGGAGGGCCTCCGATGCTGGCACTGACCAAAGAGCGCCCGTTTTCTGAGCACGGTGGGGCCTGGGGTCCTTGCTTCTCAACCTTCCGGGGGTCGGGAAAGGTACAGTACATTCCTTACCAGCTCCGAGAAAGCACTTGGAGGACATAGTGTGTGCAACAGAGAAGGGAGGCTGAGGGAAGGCTGGTAGCTGGTGGCTCCCCTGGGGGCCTGCTGCAGGTCAGGGCAGGGGTCCCCAGGTGGGCGAAGATGGAGTGGGCACTGGGTGGGCAGGCTGCTGGGGCGGCCCTTCTCTCCCCAGGGAGCACCATTCCCTGCCCCGCAGCCACATGAGCTCCTTAGCCTATTGCCTTTTACTCGGGGCCTTGGGGGCTTCATTAGCTCTGGGAGCCCTTTTGGGTTCTCCCAGAGGAGGGTGCACTTTCCTCCCGCTTTTCCTACACCCGGGTCTGGGGGAAGCTGAGAAGGGAGAAACAGCACAGCCCTCCTCCAGGACTGTCCTCGCTGCCCAAGCTTTGAGGAGGATCCTCTTCCTCTTTCCCCTGGCCGCTGCTGTGCTCCCTATATCCTCTCTGGGTCTCTGGGCCCTGGGCCCTCGCCACAGAGGGGATGTGGCCTATGGCATGACATAACCTGGCAGCGGTAGGAAAAATTCCCTTCTGTGAAGGGGAAGCAGACTGGGCTGTAAGGAAACAGTGGGACTGGCTCAAGTGCCCAGGGTTTGCTTAGGGCACGGGAATTGGCCGTGTGCTATTTAATTTATTGAGAGGAGTGGAGTAGGTGGCTTTTTTTTTCCCCTCCCTCTTCCCCAGCAAGAATAAAGTTTATTAAATTATCTTGTTTGGGTGAAGCAAGAGTCCGTTCCATGCTCACTGTGTGGGGCGGTGTGGTTGAGCTCCAGAGGTGCTGAGCTGGTCACTTGACGTGAAGGAGGGATGGCAGAAAGTCCCAGAGAATCCACTGGCTCTCTTGAGACGCAAAGAACCAGAGACCAGCTGTGTTAATGTTGTTAGTTTAATGCTGACAGCGGCATATCCCGCAGCGTGACTGTTAGTTACGATGAGTCAACTTGGGGAAGTGCGTGCTGCTTGCTTGGTGTGGCCAGCCACACGGGTCCCCTGCCTTCCAGTTCAGGATGACGGGGGGACTGGGTAGAACACCCCAAACTTTTAGCTGCCACCTGGCTCATTATAGCAGTACCAGATCCAGGGTGGGATGGGGGCTGTGGAGAGAAAACTAGAGGGCAGAGGCTCGGGGATACAGTTAAATGCTTACAGAGGAGCCACCCCGCTCCAAAGGTCTCAGCCTGGTGTCTCCTCTGGGCATCTGTCTGCTCGTGCTGCTCCATTTGGTTGCAGGGAGAGGGAGGTGAGTCCCTCCACTCTAAGGCCCAGGAGCATTGTTTTCTTGATGTTGGGACAGCTCCTGGGGACTTCCCAACACAAGGTGTAAAACTAGTCCATTTACATTGGGACAGGAGAGGGGTAGAGGAGGGGTTCCTGGAAATGGGAACAAGGTTAAGAGGGTGTGCCGGGGGTTCTCCCAGTTGGCATAGCGAACGTGCAGCCGCAGCGTTGAGAACAGTGGGAGGGGAAGGGCTCAGCCCCAGCCCCTGACTGGCAGTGATGACCCAGGCTCTGGAAGTGGGGTCCTCTCTGATCTCTCATGGGTCCCCACATCCTGAGTTTCAGAGCTGGGCTGGGCTGTTGAGTGAAATGACCAGAGCAGAGTCTGTGTTCTCCCTGTGGAGCCCCATCCACGGAGGAGTTGAAGCTCAGGAGGGACAGTGCTTCCTGCCGTCACCTCAGCAGAACTGGTAGTTGTTAGGCTGCAGCAAGGGCTGGGCTATGTCCCCCTGCTCACAGCAGGCCAGCTGCTCGCTAGAGCTCTCCTGCTCGCCGCCGCCGCCACTGCTGCTGCCGCCACTGTCGCTGCTGCCACTGCTGGGCAGATTAGCATAGTCCTGAAGGAAGGAGAGGCCAAGAGATGGTCAGTGCTGACTGGTCAGGTCCAGCCCGGCCTGCCGTAGCCGCCCCCTGCCCCAAGCCTGGCCACGCTCACCTGCTCTCTGCCGTCCACTTGGGCCTGTTCCTGAAGGAGGAGGCAGATTTGCTGGAAGGTGGGCCTGTGGGTGGGCTCCAGGGACCAGCATGCCTGCATGATGCTATATCTGAGACAGGACAGAGGTTGCCCGTGGGTCTGGGGATCATTTCACGTGCTCGTGCCCTGCAGAGTCCTACCCAGCAGAGGTCCCAAAACCTAGTCATGGTGAGCTTAGCACAAGACCTGAGCTCAGACCTTGGCATGTGTTCTGACTTAACCCTCCCAGTGGCCCTTGGAGAAAGGTCTTCCTCTCACCCGTTGTGATAACTGTGGGGAGAAACTCAGATGCTGTTGTGCTTTATCTCCTAGAACAAGAGGGGCTTTCTTGCTACCTGCAGGTAGGTTAGAGAGATAGGCTGAGAGAATGTGTAATGGATTGGCTGTAGTAAAAAACTAGAGTGGAGAGTGGTCTGCAGGGGCTGAGGGGCTGGTGAGCCAGCTGAGTGGGTCCGCCTGGGCAGAGAAAGCCCGGGTGGGCGCAGGGGTGGGCTGTGTTGACAGACGGGCTGGAGAAAGGCAGTGGGTAACCTCATGGTCCGCAGGCCTGTGGACAGGCTGTGGTGAAGGAAGGGAGCCAGTGAACGGCTCACTTGCGGTGGGCTGGCTGTGGTGAGGTGTCACGCGGCAGTGTCTGGCCGACGCCACAGATCACCGGCACAGGAGAAATGAGAGATTCCTTCCTTGAGGTCATGGTAACAGAGTCTGGGTTAGAAATCTATCATCCAAGTTAGGACTGCCCAGTTAAGAGTCCTCCAAGAACATCTACGCTGCCTGGAAAACCAGAGGTAACTGCGAACTCTGTAAAGGGGACTTGTTATTTAGTCCAGTGTGGAGAGATGAAGCCTGGCCCTGGATACTGTGGACAGGGAAGGATGGGTCATATGCCTTTCCGTCCCTTTCAACCGGAGTCAGGGTGTCCTCCCTCCCTGGGGCCTTTTCCTTACATGTTCTTTGGAGCAAACGCAGGCTGAGCCATTTGATATCCATCCTTGACCAGTTTGTAGAACTTGCTGTTCACCAGAATGCCAGGGTAGGGGTTCAGCCCTGCAAAGGCCAAGGTGATACATGCTCAGTGCTCCCTTCCCCATCTCCACTCCACACATCTTAGCAAGGTTGAGGTTCCACAATAGAACAGCAGCTCCTCTTAGTGCTTACTATGGACTGGGTACTGCAAAAGGGCTAAGTTCAGGAGGCTGAGAGCCATCACCCAGCCTCATCACGCCACACAGTTCTAGCCCAGGCTTTAGAACAGGAGGTTCTTAGAGGAATGCACTGAAGGTCTAAGCCCAAGTCCTTGTGCCCAGCATGCCAGAAGTAGGAGAGACGTCTTCAAGGATTCCGGTGTTCGGACAAGGGGAAACGGCATCCTAGGAAGCAGCAACTGCACAAGCAGGCAGATGGAACAGCCCAGGGGGGATGGAGTGCCTGTCAGGATGCAGGCACTGCCCTGCCCATGCTGGAGCTGTGACACGTGGTTTAAGACATTTTGCATATCCATTCCACCAGCCCTTGCTCTGCTGTGGGCACCGAACGCCCATGACTTAGCATCCTCCTTGAGTTATAGACACTGCGGGTAACCAAGCACAAGTCAGCCACCCGGCCAGCCACTCACCAAGTGAGAAGATCTCCCAGAGGAGGATGCCATAGGACCAGACGTCGCTCTGAACTGTGTACACACAGTCGAAGATGCTCTCGGGAGCCATCCACTTCACGGGCAGGCGGGCCTGCACAGCAGACCCCAGTCACCTTGGTCCCTGGCCCACTGCCCTCTCCCCAGCCTGGCCCATGCCCTTCCAGCACTCACGTTGCCCTTGACGATGTAATTGGAATCATTCATGATGTCTCTGGCCAGTCCAAAGTCCCCAATTTTGGCCACACGGCCGCTGGTCAGTAGCACATTTCGGGCAGCCACGTCCCGATGGATGCACTGAGGGGAAGTGGGTCAGGGTTAGTCCCAGCCCCTCTCCAACCTGAGCCCAAAGTTCAGAAGAAGCAACCAGGGCCTCAGAAGACCTCAGAGGTCCTCCGTGAGGGAGTGGGCATCAGTTTTGGTTCTGAACCTGACTCCTGTCCCTCCCTGCTACCAGGGCCCAGGCCCTGAAAAAATGTAATGTGGTCAGACAATTGAGTGTTCAGAAACCACCCTCCCTCTGGCCCTTTGGCCCTTAGCAGCAGCTGACCTAGAGCTGGATGCTCTGCTCGGGCCCAGAAGCAGTGAGTCCTGGCGCTGTGAGCCATCGTGGGCCCACGTCGGCTTCTAATAACAGCAGCCATTTTCAGGGCCTTACCATGGCAGGCCCTCCCCTAAGCATCTGCGCACATTGTAATCCTGTTTTGCCCACAACCCTGCGATTGTGCCCACTTGTATCAATGTAGAGACCAAGACTCAGAGTTTCAAAATTGTTCAAAGTGACAGCAAGTGGCAGAGTCAGCAATCAAATTTGACTCCGAAGTTGTGCTCTAAGGAGGACAGTCACTGATCCCACTCCAAGGCACTTCTGGGCTGAATATCGTACATGTCATCTCACACATAGCCTCACAGCTAAGGGAGGTTCCATCATCATCCCCATGAGATCGTGTGCTTCACACCATTGACGGTTGTGTTCACACAGCCTGTTTTTGGGAGTGGTTGCACCACAGTCTGCTGCGCCCCGGGGCCTCCCGGAGGGGCTCCCAGCTCTCTCCCACTCCCCCCAAAGCTCTTTGAGGCAGCAGCCCGTTTGCTTTCCAGCACTGTGGCTCTGCTCCTGCCCCTTCAGGCTCCCTTTCCTCCCCTTCACCCTCCCTCCTCCAGCCTTGTGGGGGTTCAGTGCCCCCCCAGGTGACTGCCTGGGGGACCTGGTTCCCAACTCACATTCTTGGAAGCGAGGAAGGCCATGCCCTGGGCCACCTGGCCTGAGAAGTGAAGCAGGTCCTGCAGCTCCAGTGGCCATTCATCTTTGTCCAGGTCTGGTGGGGGGTGGGGAGGTATCAGGGCAACCCGCTGCACCCTTGCCGTTCCCTGCCCAGCCCCCAGCAGCCCGGTTCCTCACCTTGCTCAGAGGAGTCACTTGAAGTGGAAACAGGCCTCATCTCCACATAGGTGTCCATGCCCTGGCTGGAGAAGCCACTGTCCCTGCACAGGAGAGAGGACCGAGGGCCAGTCAGGCCCCATCACCACTGCCCAGCTCAGGCCTTAGTCTCCAGCCACTTGGCAGAGAAGGGAAGGGACCTTGGGGTCAACTTGAACATTCTCTGACACGAAACCCGTGCCACATTATGTCTGAGTGATCATTGGTCTCTGGCCATCCTGTGAGCGAGCTGACACCTATTCTCTGTGGGCAGCTCTGTCTTTTAGAAAGTCCTTCGCCATCTGTAACACCAGTCTGCCCCTGGGATTTTCCTCCTGGTCCTTGCTCTGCCCCCGAGGGCTGCAGAGAAGTGGTTTCCCTGTTCCCCATAACAGCCCTGCAGAGATCTGAGCATATTCCGGGGCCCCTTCTTTGAGCCCTCTGTCTAGACAGTGGCTCTTACCCCTGGCTTCACATGAACATCGTCTGGGGAGCTTTAAACATGCCGCGTGCCCAGACCACCTCAGAAACTCGAGGGGCCAAACTCGGTCACCAGACTTTTCATTCTCTCCAGGCAATCAATCCCAGCGTGCTGCCAGAGGTGAGACCTGCTGGTCTAGAATAGTGCTGCTTAAACTGTAATTCGTGGGCCTAGACTCACCTGGGGTATCTTCTGCAAATGCAGGCTGTGATTCAGCAGGTCTGGGTGGGCCTGAGACTGTGTATTTCTGACAGCTCTCTTGTGATGCCTATGAACTCATGCTTTGGGTGACAGGCAAGTTTGAAAAGCGCTGCTCTAGAATGAATAGCCACTGCTGCTTCTAATCCAACCAGATGAACTCTGGGCTGCTCACCCTCCTACTCCCTCTGCAGTAGAGATGTGCACCCTGACAATGTCCATGCTCAAGTGTTCCCCCAAAGAGAACCTAGTATTTCATTTATGGGCTGGCCATAGGGCAAAACCAACGCCTCCCTTGGTCTAGAAACTATATCCCTATTAATGTAGCCTGGGATCCTATTGGCAGGGTGGGTTCACATGCCATTTGCTCCTTGAGTCACCCCACTCCGTGAATCCTTTCCCCACCTGCAGATTTGAGGATGAAAGCTAATACTTTAGTTTGGTTCTCATTTTGATTGGATCTGGCCTGAGGTCCCAGCCTGCAGAGGCTCAGTGTCAGAGGGGAATCAGAATCAGAAGAGGAAGTAGGTAGGTCCTGCCAGCCCCCATGTTCAAAAACACTGGATGGAATGACGTAGCCTCCTTCCCCTTCTGCCTGCCCAGGCTTAGCAGCGGACAGTGGCTAGGATAGGAGCCCAATGTGTACCCTTCTTCTTCTGACTCTGTTCCAGTCCCCAGCAGCCTGGTCCTGGGGCCCCCAGACCCGAAGACAGACTTCCAGGGGAGCACAGGAGTCAAAAGAGCCATCTGCGGCCGAGGCTCCTCCTCTGTCCCTGACTCATGTGTGACATGAAACTGGCCACTTCCTCTCCCTGGTTCCCCATGTGGCTCTGTCCATCTGCCTCTGCATGGCTTCCAGGAATCCCAGCATTACAGAATAAAAGGGAAGGAAAGACCTTCAGAAGGTCATCCTCCTCATGGCTTGCCTGGTAAACAGACCCGAGAGGGACCTGGCTGTCATGCTGTTTTGCCGCCTTTCACCCAACAACCCACAGGCTGTCCCCACTTCTTCATGGTGATGGGGAGACCTGCCACTGGCTATTCCCAACTGCAGTGGGATTCCTGCAGTTCCTGGCAGCACATGCTGCAGGTGAAGCAGGGTGATTATCCCCAATAGCAGCTGCCTCTGGCTAAGGCCCTGAACAGTCTTGGTTGATCTTGTATATATTTTAAAGTGAGGATTTATTAACATCTGTCTCCAGCAGATTATAAGATGCCCATTGTTGCATCAGTGTTTCCAGAAAATAGTAGGTATTCAAATACTGGACAAGGAGAATAATTAGAAAAACTGAGCTGCTTCTCTCCCTGTGGCGCAGATGGGAATGTGAGGGCCAACACCCTGAGCTGGTTTTGGGGACAGACCTGGGACCCCACCTGCCAGCTGTAGCCTCCTCCCCGTTCCTGGCCAGGGTACTACCTGCGGGCATATTTCTTTTCCAGGTGGATGTTCTTGTAGCCAGGATCCTGGCCTGGACTCAGGCTGGGTCCCAGCATGGCCTCAGCCTTCTTTCGCAGAAAGTTGAGCAGGTCACCATAGCAACAGTATTCAGTGATGACCAGGACAGGGCCTAGAGAGCCAAGAGAGTGGGGTGAGTGTACCCCTTAACCCACTCCCCATGTGAACAGGAACATGGGGTAGGTTCCATGAGGCACCCTACTGGGACATAGAGCCCCATCTGTCTAAAGCAGAGGAATGTCACGCCCCCCTCCCCACAACAACAAAAAAATGTAGCTAAAGAAGTCTTTCCCCAAAGGAAATCTATAGCCGCTTCATAAAGGTCAAAGCTCCTATAGAAGATGGGGTGCACTTGGAGTCCCAGCAGGCCCTGGGGCACCCCTGTGGTGGCCGTGGTGAGTGTCCAAGTGTCTTTGGGTGGGGGCTTCACTCCAGACCCACAGAATCCAGCTGCCCAGGGGTCTGCCCTGTTAGCTCCCTCTCCAGGTGACTGACCGATGCCCGCTGGTGTGTGAGAGCCACTGCTCAGAGCTCCCAGAACCATCTGCCATGCACGAGCAGTCTGACCAGTTCAGGCATGTGGAATTTAAAGGACCTGAGACAGGATCCTACCTTCACGTGGAGGAGATGGGAAGTAGAAGGTGGACTGAGGTGGCCCTGGGGCCCTCAGACACCGGAGAGACCCCCAGACCATGCCAGGGGCCCCTGTGCCCGCCAGCGCCCCTCACCTCCATGGGTGCAGGCTCCCAGAAGGTTGACTATGTTCTCATGCTGGCCCAGGTGGCTCATGATCTTCAGCTCCGACATGAGGGCCTCTTTCTCATCGGCATGAGCCGTGGCTGGGGGAGGAACCGCAGGCCCCACAGATGGGGAGAGAGCAAGAGGACATGGAGAGCCATGCAGGAAGATAGGAGACACCGGGGAGCAGGCAGGGGTGCCCAGAGCCCCAAAGCAATCAGGGTCCGAAAGAGGGAGAAGAAGAAATGTGGATACACCAGGGGGCGGTAGGGGGAGAGAGAGAGGAGAGATGGCCAGTCACCAAGCTGGTCTCAGGTGGCAGGAAGCCAAGCTGTGGCCAGGCTGTGTGGCCCAGGGTAGCCTATGTGTACCCTAGCCTCTTTGTGTACCCCAGCTCAGCCAGAAGCCCCTCTGCACCCAGGAGTTATGGGGATCTGGCAGCTCACAAAGGGATCCAGGGGTCCTCACCGCCAATCCCAGCCTCCGTCCCCCAGACTCTAACGGACCAAAAATGTGAGTGATGCCTCTTGTGACAACAGGGCAGACCCCCCGAAGCATGTACCACCTCCCACCGGCTCCCCTAAATTCCCCAGGCCCCTTCCCCTCACTCACATTTCAGCATCTTCACAGCCACCTTCAAGACAGCATCCTCCTTGCCCAGACCAAAGGCCGTGGCCTCTACCACCTTCCCAAAGGCTCCGGCTCCAAGGGTCTTACCTGCCGAACATAGGGGCTCCTTAGTTCCCTGGGCACCAAAGGGCCCTTTCTCTAAGGGCCACCAGCTCCCTGCAGCCCATGCTGCCCTGTGACAGGGGGGCCTGGTGGGCTTCGATCCCCTCTCACCGAACTGCAGGTTGTTTCGGGGGAACTCCCACTTCTCATTGTAGGGCAGCTGGGTGGGGTCAATGAACGTGTAATTGTTGCCCTCGTAGCTCTCAATGATCTTCCAGCGCACCTGATACTTGGGCTTCTGCAGAGGGAGAGGGAGGAAGCAGGTGGCAGCCAGGCCAGGCAGGATCTTGGATCTCAATCCGACCCCTGAGGGCAGGGGGAGTGGGCAGTTTCGTGGCCCTCAGCAGGAAGAGGCAACGTGTGGCCCGAGATCTGCTGAGAGTGGCCGTGTCTTCTCACGCCCATGGCACTGAGAGTCCAGTCCCTTCCTGGCTTGGCCTCAACGGTGTGACTGTTCCTGCTGCGAACCTCAGGTCCCCTACCTGTGTATTCGACCACTTGGACAGGGTCACCCGTGAGGGCCTGGATAGCTCTGACAGTTTAGGGAATTCCTGAGCTGGGAGACAGGGCAGTGCTTGAGATCTGTCCGTCTTTCCTCTCATCCAAATATTGCTTGGTTGTTTTTTTTTCCAATTGCAGGGAGTTTATCATCTCAACCATTTTGAGTGTGCAGTTCAGTATTGCTGAGTACGTTCACCTTCTTGTGCAACCAATGTCCAGAACCCTTCATCTTGCAAAACTGAAACTCCACGCTCTTTAAACTCCCCTACCCACTTCTGCCCAAGCCCCTGGCCACCACCATTCCACTTGCCTCATGAATCTGACTACTCATTTAAGTGGAACCATGCAGTATTCGTGCTTTTGTGACTGGCCTGTTTCGCTTAGCAGACTGCCGTCAAGGTTCATCCACACTGGAGCATGGGACAGAACCTCCTTCCTTTTTGAGTCTAAGTAATATTCCCTTCCAAACAGTTCACGGAGCACCTCCCTGTGCCAGGCACCGCTGATGCAGAATTGAACAAGGCAAAGTCCCTGCCCCCATGGGACCTGCATTCCAGAGGCTAAGACAGGCATTTCCCTCAAATAAGCAAATAGACTTGTGGATAATGGGATAGCGAGATGGGTACAACTGAAGATAAGTCGGGGACAGCCCCTGAGGGGCTGAGGAGGAGCCAGTGTGTGACCTGGGAGGGAGCACTTTGCAAGCTCAGTGAACAGAGAAGAGGCGGCTTGGGGCGGGGGGGGGGGGGGGGTGGTCCTGGCCAGTTTGAGTGACTGCAAGGTGGGTGTGGCTTGAGGGGAACAGCGAAGATTCCAGAGTCTGGAAGGTCTTGAGGGCCGAGAGAAGAGGCTCTGCCCACAAGAGAGGGAGTGTCTGGAGGACCTGAGTTCTTGGCTTTACCTGCTGTTACCGACCACCAGCTGGAGCAGAGGTTCGGTGGCCTCTCTCTTTCCTGCCCAGCTGTTGAGGGACATCCTGCCAGGGCCTGCCCATGAGAAGTGCTGATGGAAGATGGCATTTAGGGGGAAAGTGGAAGCGGGGCCGGAGGGGGCCGTGAGGACACTGAGGCCTTGGGTCAGCAGTCCAACCCTCTTTCCTGTCAGTGCCCTTGGGGACCAGCTGGGCTGCGCTTTGCAGCTGGGCTCCTTCGTGGGCACCCAGCTTGGGGGGAGCGGCAGGGGGTATGAGTTGGGAAGGAGGATGGCCTGTGGCTGGGAGCCTCGCTGGGTTAAGAGACAGGACTCCAAGTAGCCATGGCGAAGAACTTCCCACAGGTGGTAGTTTGGGAGAAAAGAGTACATTTAGAGGTGAGAGAGAGCTTCCGGGTTCTGCTTGGACAGGGAGACTACAGGTGAACTTAAACACACCCATGTTGGGGCTTAGGAGGAAAGTGTGAAATGGGACAGAGGGATTTTTTTCTTTCCTTCCCTCCCTCCCTCCTGTCCTTCGTTCTTTCCTTCCTTCCTTCTTTCCTTCCTTCCAGAAAGAGAGATATCGATTTGTTAATCCACATATTTATGCATTCATTGGTTGATTCTTGTGCCCTGACCAGGGATCGAACCTGCAACCTTGGCATAACCAACCGAGCTACTCAGCCGGGGCAAGGAGGGACTTTCTGAGCCTCAGAGATTCAAACCCTGCATATGGTGCTTTTCCAGCCCAAAAGGCAGGGACAGAGCCACGAGGGGATTCTTTGACCCCCACCCCTCAGGCCACTTCCATCTCCAGGCTTCTGTGGCCAAGGCCTGTTTGTCTCCTCACCACTTCTCCTTCCTCTGTCTTCCGCAGCTGAGTCTGAGTCAGCCCCCTCCCCACGGCCGCCCCCAGCCAGGCAGGGGATGCTGGAGAAAGGGAGGGGGGTGGGTGGAAGGAGGAAGAGGTTATCTGGCTGGAATCTCAGATCTCCCGATGCCAGACTCTACCTGGAGGAGAAGGCCGCTTTCTCCAGCCTGCCTCAGGCGCCTTCCCGCCTCTTCCTGGCAAGCGGCTCCCAGCTCAGCCCCTACACACCCAGCCTTTGCCATCCCTGGGAAGGGCTCACAGATCCTCCCGGGGGCTTCTACCCAGAGGCCTCTCCTCTGAAGGAGAACAGTTACAGGAAAGCCTGGATGGGCCGCCTCAGGTCAGATTTCCTAATGACAGTGGTAGTAATAGTACAAATAGCAGCAAGAGCTTCTCCGCACTTCCTGTGACCAGGGTGCCGGCTGCACGCTCATGGTGCATCATCTCATTGATTCCTCACCACAGGCCCCGGACCTGTGCCCTCCCCCGACTTCACCCCGACTCTTCCTTGGCAACCAAGGTGAGCAGGAGACCTCAAAGTCCCTGCAACCCTCCCCACTAGGCCTGCTGGCTCTAGGCGGTGGACGTTCCCTGCCTCAGGAAGGGAGAGCCCTCAGTATTCCCAGATACACCCTCCTGTCCCTCCCTAGTTTGTCCCTGGTCCCCACAGCTCAGTTCTGACCCCTAGAATCCCAGCCTCTCCGTGGCCTCCCCATCCCCTGCCTCACCCTTTCCTCCCTGTGTCCCCCCTCGTCCCTGCCTGCTGACTCCTGCCCTTTCTCTTCCCCCTTAGCCCCTGGCCACCCTGTGGTCTCTCTGGGGCCAGAAAGGTGATGACTCAGCCTGAGGCAAAAACAACTCTTCCTCCAGACGGGGCCACCCTCACCCGGGGCCTCGGCAGTGAGGACTGACCAGGCTCAGTCCCAGGGGAGGAGCGAGTCTCAGAACTCCAGGTGGCAGGAGAACTGGACTACAGGCCCTGGGACAGGGGCATGACTATCTTGACCCCTCCAGGTCTTGTCCTCCATGGGCTCTCCTCCTTCCCTTGACCCTGAGTGGGCTCGGGGGGCCGTTGAATTTCCTGGATGGGAAATGAGGGGACTGGGAGCACATGTCCCAAAAGTGGTCCTCTATGGAGAGAGAGGGTAAGATGCCCCTAAACGACAGCTGGCCAAAGGGGCCGGAAGCCCGAGGCAGGGGGCTGGAAGGGCACTGGGCGCTTCTCCAGAATCCCTGCAGTCTGTCCTGGGCCCAGGAGGCAGCTCCGCAGGGCACGGGGAGGCGGCTCTCAGCTCCATAGGAAGAACTTAGTGAGTCAGAGCTGCCTGGAGGAGGAAGGGGTGGCCACAAGCGTGGTGAGGTCCTGTCCCTGGAGGTGGGCGAGCAGGGCCCAGCACCGCTTTGGGTGTGTAGATGCCCCACTGCATGAGCTAACTTGGGCTCCCAGCCAACTTCCTCCTGGGATGAGGCTGTGCAGCTTCTACTCTGAGCGCTGTCTGTGCCCAGCACCCTGCGGAGTCCTCTGCCTGCCTGATGTTGTGAATCCTTAAGACAGCCTGGTGGGGCAGCTGCCGTGAGGAACCCCATTTGATGGATGGAGAAAACAGAGGCTTAGAGACACCAATTTTTCCAGAGCCCAATAGCTGGAGACAGGCAGAAGAAGGATTCGGACCCAGATCCGTCTAACTCACAGCCCTTGGCTCTTAAACCACACCATCAGCAGGCTCATGGAATGTCAGATTTCCCCCATGGTACAAGTGGGGAAACTGAGGCCCAGAGAGAACACTGAGTCATCAAGGTCATATGGCAAAACAGTGTCGGAGATGGACCCAGATCCCCAAAGTCTTGACCCGGGGCCCCGGTTGTCTGGGGCTGTACTCCGAGCTGGGTGCTGGCATGAGCATAAAGCGCCAAACCCATGGGGCCCGGGGGTGCCCCCACATCCCATCCACCGAGCCTATCTACTTCAAGTCCTCTTCTCACACTAAAAACCCCAAGGTAGGTGTGGGGAAGAAGTTATTCACCCCTAAATCATATCACTACTTGTTCAAACCCACTAACAACCCTCAGCCTACAGGACGAGGTCCAACCCCTGAAGTCCCCAACCTGCCCCTACCTGCCTCCTTTTCTAGGTGCTACTATATCCAGAGCCCACCTTGGTCTTCTCCCACCCTCTACACACATCGCCCTCTCCCCCACAGAGACCCCTTCCCTGAGGCTGGTCTCTCCTTGCTGCACCCTCCGCCACCCATGCCATGTCACCACCTCCAAGCAGCCTCCCTCCCCCACAGGCAGAAGAGAGGCCTCCACTGCTGGCCCCCACCACCCCCTGGCCTGGCCCTGCCAGCGTCTGATCACACTGGACACCATCTTTTGTGTAGGGAGACACTGAGGCCCTGTGGTGGAGGCCGTAGATCTGGTGTGGGGGGTGCCCAGAAGCCTTGGGCCGGTTCTTCAACCTTCTTGAGCCTCAGTTTCCTTATTGTAAAATGCTGCTGCTATAAGTCTCTGCCTCCGGTTGTTGTGAGGATAAAATGATTCAATGTTTTGCATGGTGGTTAAAACCATGGCTTTTTTAAAACCTGCCTCTGCACTGACCAGCTGTAGACCAAGGCAACTGTCTCCACCTTTCGGAACCTCAGCTTCCAACTCTGTAAATGGGGTTAGCGATACTGTCTACATGCCGTGGCTGCGGAAGGCACTAAGTGAGAGGGTGTAGGCAACACAATTTATAAAACAATGCCCCTAAAATCGCTATTATGGGTTGTGCACTCAAAGTGACAGGCAGCTCACTACTGTCAGCGTGCAATAAATGGTAGCTTTGAATAATCATGTTCAATAACAAAGAGGCTGATGACGGTCAGGCCTCCCTCTTCTGTGGGACAACATGCTACCTGAGGGTGAGACACAGGCCTGGCCTGTGCTGTCCTCTCTGTGCGCCCATGAGCCGCTGGCTGGGACCGGACCCCATGCTCCGCTCTCCCAGAACCCACACCTGTGGCCAGAGCATCCCTCACCCTCACTTTTCTGGTCAATTGATTCTCAACCGTGTCCTGCGCCAGACAGTGAACTGTGAGGGCAGAGCCTCAGACGCTCTGAGTTTTGGCCCTCCCAGGACCTCGCCCACGTTGGCATACAGTAGGCGCCTACTACAGAGCCATTGGCTGAATGACTGGCTGACAAAATGAGGGGGCATTGTGGGGCTAAAGGGGGAACTGCGTGGCCTGGCCGTGCTGCCTCGGGGTCCAGCGCCTTCGGGGTCTGGCTGTCCCACCCTGCCCAGGCTCACCTGCTTGTACTTGTACAGAAGCAGCAAGAGCAGCAGCAGCAGCAAGGCCATGATGGACATGCAGGCCACCAGCACAGGTGTGAAGAGGGACTCATCAGGGGACTGTATGGAATATCCTGGAAGGGGGGTTGCAGAGGAGTAAGTCACAGAGAGGCCTCTGGGTTCCCCACCCCCACTGAGAACTGGCCAGTGCATGGCCAGGAACACAGTTGGCACTCAGTAAATGCCTTGACTGAATGAAGTGCCCTCACACCCAGAAACCCCCAGAGCCTCAGGGAGCCTTCCCACAGATCCTTCCACAGCCAGGGGCAGGGAGGACAGACGCTTCTGCCCTGCTTGTGCCCAGCCGCAAACCCTACCAGAAGCACAGCCTTCCGGGGAGCCCCTCAGGCCACACGGTGCTACCCTGCTGGGGAGGGAGCCCTCTGCAGCAGCCTGGCCTGCTGCCCAGCTGTGCCGTGCACACCCCCACCGTGACGGGTTCACCGCCCTCACCGCCCACGCTGCCGGGCAGCCGTAACAGGGATCTTCTGGACCTGAGACAGGAACCCGCCTTCCTGGCCTTCCCTGCTGCTTCCCTGAGTTCCCTCTGGAACCACGCGGCCCGTCCGGCTGAAAGCCAGGCTCACGGCCCCTGGGTCTCCTCTTCCCAGGTCACTTACCCTAGTTTGCTCAATGAGTTTTGAAATACATAATTTGCATCACCTTGCCCAGGTCAAGAGCATGGATCTGAGGCCCAGTCTCACCTCTGCTATTGAGGAGCTGTGTGACATTGAACCTGTGACTTCTCCCTAAGCCTCAGGCTCATCATCTCCAAAGTCAAAGGAAAGTAGTACTAACCTCCTAGGAAGGGGTCAGTTCATTGAGACAATGCCTGGCACAGTGAGACTGGGAGCAGCCACAGCCACTGCCCGTGGAGTGGGGCCCTGGCAGCGGTTGCTCCAAGGCCAGCAGTTGGGGCCCCCGAGTGGCCACCTCTGAGCCAGACAGAGGCTCCCCTTCTGTCCTCTCTGGGCCCAGAGAGCCTTGCTAGGCCTGGGTGCTAAGACCTGCTTGCCGGCAGCCCCAGGTGCTGTGGGCATGGAGAGCCGCACAGAGCCTTTGTGCAACGCAGAGAAAGGCACCCCTTCTTCTCACAGGTGCAGCCTCAGTCAGTAGTGTCCAGGGCTGGACAGTGGTCCCCAAATGGTAAGACAGCATCTCTGGCAGGAAAGGACTCAGGGAGGGGTGACGGAGGCCCCCAAGGCTGGCCCCGGGGCGGACTTGGACCACGCTGTTGCCTGTCTTCCTCACCAGACTCTAAGCTCCATGGGGGGCTCGCTCCCCTGCATCGAGGGAGCACCTGGGGCACAGCAGACGCCAAACATATACTGTATTTTGCTGTGTATAATGCACACCCCACGTTTTGGGCCTAAACTTTCAGGGAAAATATTTTTCGTTTTAATTCAATTTATTTATTTATATTCAGGTAATTGTTTTTTGTACTATAAAGGAGTTTTAGCATATTGGGGTACACTTTTAACGCATAAGCGTTATTAGGGTATACCTTTAACGCATAAGCGTGCATAAAAGAATTAAAAACATTTATATAGGCACGGAATTAGCACTACCCATGTATAATGTGCATCCTTATTTTTCCCTCAAAAATTTGGGTGAAAAAAATACACATGATACAAGGCAAAATGCAGTATTTGTGAATTAACGCATGAGTTCAAGTGCAGGGTTTGAGCAGAGGGGCCAGGTAGGCTGTGCCCGTTTCTGGCGGCTTTTCTCTCTGGATGCCTGCTTCCCCTCCACTCTTCTCTGCTACCCCTGATCCTGAGGGATCCAGACTCCCCCGTCTGGCTGCTTCAGAAGATCTTTGTTCAGGAGGAGCCTGGAGTGGGACCCACAGAGGTGGGACTCGGTTCAGCTGGGATAAGCTCCACGTTTTAGAACTCTGGGCCCCTCCCATCCTGGCCTGGAGTGGAGGACCAAGGCTCACCTACAGAGATGGGCTGGAAGGCGTCAGAGCTGTTCCCCGCACTGTTGTGGGCCCTGCATTCATACGTCCTGTTGTGTTCCAAGGTCCCAATGACTAGCACGCTCTGGACAGTCACCTCATGGAAGGGCTCCTGGCTCAGGACCTTGGGGTGTGGGTCCTCGGAGACGAGCAGCACTTGGGACTCCTCACATCTGGAAAGAACAGAATGTGGTTCAGAGTTTCAGGGTGCCCAGCCCCTCATTCCCAGTGAGGAAGGTGAGAGGAGCCCACTTACCTGTTGGTATGGCCCCTGCACTGCACCCAAGTCACATTGGGCTGGGGGTACCCAGAGGCATCGCAGATCATGGCACCTGAGCCATTGACGGAGTTCTTCCACGTGACCCTTACCTTCGGAGGGTCTGAGAAGGAAAGGAGGAGCCGAAGAGGACGGGATCAGCTCAGAGGCCCTTGTGCCCTCGCCTGACCACCTCACACTGAGCTTCCCCTCCCCCAACCTCTCCCAGCCTGTCTCTCCAGGACCCCGTATCCGCAGCCCCCGCTCCATCACTCACATCGAAGGGTGAGCTCGAATGTCAGGGCATCCTCGCCTCCGGCGTTTCTGGCCAGTAAGGAGTAGCGGCCGGCCTCAGAGGCCTTCAGGCGAGGCAGGGAGAGGGTGGAGGTGTACCTGCGTGGGAGGAGCAGGACGTCTGTGGGGAGCCCAGATGTGGTCCCCACCAGGACAGCGGGCTCAGACAGCCACCCCAACAGGCTTTGTTTTATTTTTGGTCAATATACTCGATAAAGTGTCCAGGACACAAAGGCCTTGACGGAGCCAGGAACCCAGGCGGGGTGCCAATGAGACAGGGGAAGACCACCAAGCCGGCTTTCTTAATTGGCTGTCTTATCTGTAAAGCAGTTTTGTCCTGAGGCTTAGTAGAGATGAGGTCTGTAAAATGCTGATGCTGGTAGGCACATCACAGGCCCCCTGAATGTACCTGCTTCGAGCACCGTAGCTGGGCTAAGCCATCGCAGCTGAAAACACTCGCACCCAGGTCAGCTGCCATCCCTAAAGCGACAGCCTCACTCAGTGGGACTATAGGAGGAATGAGAAGCAGGATGTGGCCATGGGGCTATAGAGACCAGGGGTCACGCCAGGTCCTGGTGCTGCCAGTTCTTAGCTGTGCAACCTTAGACAAGGACTGAACCTCTCTGATCCTTCTCTTCCTTTTCTGAGAGGATGATACTGATGAAAATTAATTCACAGACTTGGCCTGAGGATTAAAGGGCCATGTATTCAGAATGCTTGACACACTGACTCGTGGCAGCACTCAACTTAACAGTGCCCTTTAGTACAGAAGAGGCTGGAAACAAAGGCAAACAACAAGCTATTCTCAGCTGATCCCAGGTAATTTTTTCTATTCTTTTCTTACTCTCTATTTGAAAATTTATCCATAATGAGCACATATTGCTTAGGTAGTGAAAAAGTTTTTTTAAAAATAAATGCTAGCAGCCCTGGCCAGTGCGGCTCACTTGGTTGGAGTGTCATTCTGTGAACCGAAAGGCCACCAGTTCGATTCCCGATCAGGGCACATGCCTGGGTTGCAGGTTTGGTCCCCGGTCGGGGTGTGTACAAGAGGCAACCAATCGATGTTTCTCTCTAGCAGTGATGTTTCTCTCCCTCCCTTCTCTGAAATCAATAAGCATGTCCTCAGGTAAGAATTTAAAAAAGAAAAGAAAAGAAAAGAAAAAAGTAAATTACCAGCTCTTCTTTGTAAGTGCCTGCAGCTACCACCGGCCTGAAATGCGTGGCGTTCAGAGGGCAACCTCAGCCAGACCTTTGGCACACAGACCCTCTCTTCCTCTCAACACGTATCGATTTTTGTAGTAACTAACATTTACCCCTTAAACTGAAAGAATTTAACTTCTGCGGGTGCCTCAAAGTCACCCTTACGAACACACCATCACGTGAGCTAAGTTTGACGTATGTTGGGCGCGCAGGCTTGTGTGCCTTGTGACGACTGGCCCTCGGTGACTGTGTTTAAGGGTTCTCCCTGCTTCCTTTCTGCAACGTCCCTGTTGCTTACAGATCCCCGAAATCTGTCCATTAACCCCCTCTCAGGGGTCTGCAGACTCCAGATCCAGAACTTCTGCTTTAGGTGAGAGGAAGCTAGAAATGCTGGCCAGAAAGGATAGTGGAACTGGGAGGAGGAAGATGGGGACAAGGGGACAGACAGCCTTGAAGATTCTTTTGATTGACGAACAAGAGTCCAGGAGCCAATGAGGCCTGGGCTTTGGGAGCTAGAAAGAGAACCCTAGAGAGTCTGAAACTGGGAAGGTGTTTAAGGGATTATCTAGCCCAGGGCTAATACACAGATCTGCTCTCCTGAGCCAGCCGTGATGGGAACACTGTCTGGAGACTGTGTTGAGAAAGACTCTGAGGCTGCGTCTCAACTCTGCAGAAAGCAGCTTAGGGACATCTGTCATGGGGGGCGGGGAGCATTGTCACACACACAAACCTTGTACTTGCTGTCCTTGATCAGACTGCATGCTCTCATTCAAACAGATCAGGGTAAAGCAATTATTGCTTTAACCCCTTTTGTTGTTAAAGAGCATCAGTGTTCCCCTTAAGGAGGGAACTCATGTTTAGAAAGCGACCTCTACCTCATTAGACCACTTTGGATGGGAAAACAAGACCCTGAGGATATAGTCCAGGAGGAGACAGAAAAATAAATTCCTAAAATGTTGCGCATGTGGGAAAAGCAGGATTCTGAGAGAAGATGCAGTCAGATAGCATTTTATGAGAAGAGTTGAAGCCTGTTGAAGAGTGACTGGTGAGAAATTCTCCGGACTGGGCAGCCACAGGCCTTTAAAGAATTTTTGGGTGTATCTGTAATTGGGTGGCTTGAATTCCCTCCACCCCATCCCCAAACCTGTGTGAGTGGCAGACACGCTGTGCCATCGTTATTAGGAACGTGTCTAGGAATGGAACTCATGGGGCGTTGTCCTCTACATTCGGATTGGCCACGAAAGAGGAGAATGAGCGAGATTGAGAGTTCTTGGATAGCCATGAAGACGCACACCGCCAAGAAATGGTGGAATTCTTGAGGGCATTTCCCAAGGATGTGGGACAGAGGGAGACGCACATTTGACCTACATCTCAAACAGAGGACTGAGATCAAAGTTCTACATAGTGAGGGAAAGTGAGACCCAGAAAGGGGAAGGGACTTGCTCCAGGCCACGTAGCAAGGTTCAGATATGACCCCAGGGTCCTGACTCCTGGCTGAAGCCTTTCCCCTCCGGCTGTGGGGCTATGCAGGTGGGAGCTGGTAGTTGGTACCTGTATGAACCCTTGACGGTGACAAAATCGAGCTTGGGCTGGTGGTCAGAGAAGGGCCCCTCATAGGTCCAGTTCAAGCCTTGTAGATCTGGGTAGGCCTCCACTATGACTTGGAGGTTGAGCTTCTCACCCACAGCCACCTCCTGGAGGAGGTTCTGCTTAGAGGTCAAGTTCAAGTAGGCACTCTCTGGAAAGCAGAACACACAGAGACCTGGCATTAGTGGGATGATGTCCTGGTTGGTTTGTTCATTTGTTCATCCACGCATTGATCCAGTTGTTCAGCTGGACCCTCCTGCATGGGTACAGTCGGCCAGGCCCACAGTCCCCAACCTGAACCCATGCTTGCCCGCTGACATCTCTCCACCACCCACCACAGAAGCCAGGGCTCCAAATTTTTCTCCTCACTGAGTTCCCGGGAGAACATGGGAAAATTCCTACCCTCCTTGATGCCTTTACCTCCTTATTTGCCTAATTAAGAGTCTGAATATAACTGTGATTATAACTCTTTGAAAAATATTTACCAAAAAATTCTGGGGTTTTTTTTTTTTCCCCTCACATGCCCCTACCCATTTCCCTTTCTTCTGATAATAGTTCAGTCAATGTGGCCTCCACATCCCGGTCTAAAGTGAGCATGTGACTCAGGCCAACCAATCAGAGTAATGCATCCCCTTCAGACCAGTGATTGGTTTGGAGTAGGCATGTGAGTCCATGAGTCCTGACACTTATTTCCATGACTTTTTGTTTTGGAAATCTGGGAAAAGAGAAGACCTCATTTTACTGGGGCATTCATGCCTGGTGCTGCTGGGAGTTCCACAAAAAAAATGTACAGCTGAGAATTGCAAAGGAACAGATTCTTGTTCACATGATCTGGACACCTAGATCCAACTGTACCTGAAGCTCATATCCATGGGCTTTTCAGCAATAAGGCCAAAAAAACACTCTTTTGATTAGGTCAGTTTGAGTTGGTTTCTGTTACCTGTACCCAAAAGGGTCATAACTAGTTTCTTCTAATTAAATCTTGCATAAATTAAAATGAGGCTACTCTGGGGGTCTGAGGAGGAATGAAGAGCAGAAGAGTGGTGGAGCCCCAGAGGCCCTAAGTACTCTCAGCGTTTCCAGGACACCCCGCACTTCCCCCATGATTGCACTAGATTGGTCCATGTGTTTACATTTCATGAGTGTCCAAGGAAGGAAGGAAGGAAGGAAGTCCAGTAGGGAGCTACTGGATATCGATCCCAAAACAGAATAAAACAATGCTAAACAGAATTGCAACAATGCACTGTAAGAGCTCTAGGATAGAGAGGGGTGTTCCGGGAAGGCTCGCTGAGAAGTGGCTCCCTAGCCAGGCCTAGCGAAGGGGATTCTAGCCAAGATATTCTTCACAGTGTCTTCTTCTCTGCCATCAGCTCCCTCCATCTCAGTCCCCTGATGCACCTCCCTCACCCCAGGGTCCCAGCCCACCCTCCCCCACCATCCTGATGCTCACCTACTACCCGGAAGACCATGGAGGTGGAGTGGATGCCCTGGGTGTTGGTGGCTATGCAGGAGTAGTTGCCAGCATCCTGGGAGCCTACTTGATCGAGGTTGAGGGTGAGGACTTTTTTGTAACGGCCATCATGGAAGTCAGCGTGTGACGGGATTGTGAGCTGCGGCCAGAAGAAACGGAAGTGGTAGACAAATGTTGTTTAGGAAGTAGAGAGATTTGGGTTCAAATCCTCATCCTTTATGGATTATTATCTTTTTTTCTTTGGGCAAGGGCCCAATCTCTGGGTCTCAGTTTCTCTACCTGTAAAATGGGACTAATACTAGCTCCCTGCTTCTAGGGCTGCCGTGAAGAGTAAATGAGATGTTGCACGCAAATGGCTGTGCCTGGCATGCAGCAGGCACCATGGGAGGGGACAGGTTCCTCAGAAGCAGCCTAATTCCTTTTCCTCCTGGGGATACTCCATCGTCCTCCCTCTCTCCCAGAGAAAAGTCTTTCTGAAATAGCCCTTATATCCCTGGGCTTCAAAGGTGGCCTAGGAACCCCTTGCTAAGTCAGAAGTGAGCTGACATCTGGTTCTTGTCTACAGGCTGGGGCAAAGGTCATGGGTCAAAGGGGTAGAGTACCACCTCCCCTACCCGCCCCCATGAGCCTCAGCGGCATGAGTCTGAGCTCTGGTCACCAGCTACTGATGGCCAGTGAGCGCCCAAGCGAGTCCACTCCCCTCTTTGGACCTGGGCCATGCTCTCAGCCCAGAGAGCCAGCTTACGGTGGGGCTGGGGGCTCCATCCCACAGGGCCTGACGTAGTGGGAAGATAGGCAGACATCTCCCTGCTGTCTCCCTGGGGACCGACCTGGGTGTTTCCTCGTTGGAGGTAGACATCAAACATGACATCAACGTCACTGGCTGAGCACACAATCCGGGCAGCCTCTCCTTGAATCCGCACCAGCTCTGCAGGTTCCAGTGTCACATTCGGGGGCCCAGGGACAACTGAGGCCAGGGGAAGAGACCCATGAACATCCAGGCCAAAGCTATTGCTCTGCTCCCCGCCGGGGACCAGGGCCCTCCCGCACGTTCCCATCCCAGATCCTGGAAAGCACCCTTGATGCTTCCTTCCCCCTCCCCCAACCCTGGCAAGTCTTGTCTCCTAAATAGACCCTGAAAAGTCCACTTCCCGCCACCACACCACCTCTCCCCAGTCTCACCGCAGTTCCCTGCTCTGGCCCCTGCAACTGCCCCCTGGAAGGCCTCCCTGCTTCCCCCCGACCCCTCCACCATCTGGACTCCTCACAGCAGCCAAAGGGAGCACATTTAAGAAGGGAAATTGATCATGCTTTTCTCCCGTGCCAATATCCAGGGGCTTCTCATCGCTCTCAGAATAAAGGTCAAAGTCCTTCCCACTTCCCCAGGCCCTGTCACCGACCACCTGGACCCTGCCACCCTACACTCCCAGCGCTGCCGCTACATTGGCCCTCCCACCGCAGGCCCTTGTGCTTGCCCGGCCCTCCTGGGAAGCTCTGTCTCCCACACTTTGAATGGGTACCTGTTCTCACCCCTCAGACCTTTAGTTCAACATTCTTCAGAGAGGGCTTCTGTGACCAGCTAACCTCTCCCGCCCCCTGCCCAAACACACACACATCGAGCTTTCTCTGGCTGGGTTTCTTGTTCGTCACAACTGGTCTCCAGCTGCTAGCCCAGTGCCTGATACGTAGTAGGCACTGAATTAATATCTGTGTCTGTTGCTGTTGGTGAAAGATAACCTAATCCAGTTTCCCAAGGTCCAGAGTCACTAAAGGACATATCCAAGGTCACTGAAAGCGTCATGACAGAACCAGGGTCTGGGACAGCCCAGGCTCTGCAAGATGAAGCTTAGGGAAAGTGCCCTAATGATTTCCTCTGCCCACTGAGTGGGGTCCTTTGACTTCCTGGGCACGTTTTATTGCCTCAAGCTCAGGGACCTGATTCCTGTGTCCTTATTCACATCGGTCCTTCTGCAAACTAGAATCCCGCCTACAAGCCCAGCAGGTGCACGAGGGAAAAGGAGGGAGGCTGTGCCACCACTCCCCCACCCAGTTCAAGCTGTCCCACCTGCCCCCCACCACCTCCCTGTCACTTGGCTCACCACCCCTCCTTCATGGGCCTCGTGCCCAACACCAGGCTGGCGCTGAGTGGGAAATGCATGTCCAAGGATGCGGGAGAGCTTCAGGCCCTCCTTCCGTTCCTGAAACATCGGAGCCTCTTCCCACCTGTGTCCCCTGCTGAAATATATCTTTGAGGACCACCTCCTTTTCATCATTCACATTTCCGCTCAAATAAAGTGTCCCCACATGCTTTATTCCATCACCTTGTTTAATGGTTTTCCTAGCATGTTTCATGAAGAAGAGCTGATTCTGCCCACTGAGTTATTCAACATGGTCTGTCTCCCTACCTGACATACCTTGCTTGTCTTGCCGCAGTAGGTGCCCCATAGGAGACTGGGGCATGAAAAAGGAAGAAGTGAAAGGAGGGGACACCCGCTGCCTCCCATCAGGACCGGGCCCAGCCACCACTAGCCTGGCTGCCAGCTCTTCGTCCCTGCCCTCCACACCTGGCCTGCCCCACCCTGCCCCACGCACCTTTCTGCACTTTAAGACGGATGCCGAGCGTAGTCACCATCCTGCCGCCTACTCGAACGCGGCATTCGTAATCCTGACCCTCAACGTACTTGGCCTGGTGGATCGTGAAGCCGTGCTGGGGTGAGAAGGAGTACTTGGTTTTGCTCATGACAGGCCGATTGCGCACTCGCCCCAGCGAGACGCCGGGCTCCAGCGCCGGGTCAGTGAGCAGGCAGGGCAGCAGGGCGTCCTGACCCTCTGGCACCGTCACTTCCTCAGCTAGCAAATTCCAGGGCCGAGCAGGATCTAAGGTCCAGGGGGATATAGGGTTACAACTGTCCTCCCTCTTCCAGGACGAGTGGTCTCTGGACATTGGTGACAGGAAGGCTCAGAGACACAGATCATTTGCCTGAGGTCACACAATACCAGGGAAGCTCAGTTGATGCTTCAGAGCCGGGGCCTCAGAGCCAAGTCCAGCCCTATTCCTCGATGCTGTGTGATCTTGGGCAAATTACCCAGCCCCTCTGAGCCTCTGAAAAATGAGCGTAAGTATGGAACCAACCTCAGAGGGTTATGGTGAGGACTGCATTAAATTAGAAGCACTGCCGTAGATCCTTGTTCATGGCAGGCACTCCATAAATGCGGAGATGCTTTATTATGATGGGGAATATTAAGGCCCAGCCCTCCTGCCCATTCCTCTTGGGAGCAAGCCCAGTGTCCTCACCTTTGACGTAGAGGTGAATGCTGGCGCTGCCCCCCAGGGGATCTCCGGGCTCAGTGCAGCGATAGGTCCCCGTGTTTTGGAAAGTGGCATTGTTTGTGGTCAGGATACTGCCGGAGACATCAGCCTCCAGGGTCCAGAAGGGGAAGGAGGTGGGGCCACCCCATTCCACGCTGCCATTGCCCACACATCGCAGGGCCACCTTCGTGCCTGGCGTCACGACCAGCTCAGTGACATCGGGTTCTATCACCGGGGCCCCTTGAGCTGGTGGAGAGAAGACAGCAGACAGAAGTGAGGCCCAAGGTGACGCTCCCTGGGCCATTCCGTGCCTCCGAGATGGGCGCTACCCTGGCAGGGTTGGTGCTGGCATTGGGGTTCAGCTGTGACTTGCAGGGTCACCTTGAACAAGCCCCTGCCCCTCTGTGGGCATTTGCTCAGCCCCCGCCCCAAGTCTGCCCGGGAATAGACCGACGTCTCTGGTGCTCGCGTGGCCTTTCACCAGCCACAGCCCCCCGGGCTCCCGGCTGTGACTGCATCATTCTTCTCCCAGGGGTGGGCTTCCTCAGCCTCCTGAGGTGAGCTGCAGACTCAGGGCCAAAGTGGGGCCTGTCTCAAAGGAGGGGGGCTCAAACAAGGAAAGGAGGAGACAGACGAACGACGTTCGTGGCCAAGTCCTCTCACTGAATGCATGTGGGGACGAAGAAGAGGTTTGGACCTTGGCCCAGCAGAATTAAAAAGGTTCTAATTCTCCTGTCGTGCCCACTCCCACCATGGATGTCGGGTCTGTAAACCCACCATGGGCCGTTGGGTTTGTAGGTGGGGAAACTGAGGCACAGAGCTTCTGACCCATCCCAGGGGTCTCAGTTTCCCCACCTATAAAACGGGGATAATAATTGTACCCGTTTATTGGGATGTCAGGAGGTTTAAATGCATGGGAAGCCTTTAGAATGTCACCTGTCACCAAGTAAATAGTAAGAGTTAGCCATTACATTTACTATCTACCCCGACGTCCCAGCACTGTTGTGTGTACGGGAGAGCCAATCTCTTTTAAGGAAAATTTTCTTGAAGGAGAAAAGAGAACTTAAAACCTGCGTCAGGCCATCCGGGAAGAAGGCCCGTTGCCTCTGCAGGGTCAGCATTTCTCCAGGGCCTAAAATAGGGGCAAAGGAGGGAAGTGAGAGCCGATTCGAGGCCTTGGAGGGGCTGCCAGGCGCCGTGGCTTGGGCCGGCGGAAACACATTGCTGGTGCCCGGCCGGGCCCCCGGTTTCCGCTCTGCCTGTGGCCCTTCTCCCTGGGATGCTCTCACTTCTGCTTCCTGACCCTCCCAGCCACTGTCCCGTCTCTGGCAGAGAGACTCGGGAGAAGCAATGCCACCTGCTGGGCATCAGAAAACCCCTGGCTGCGGGGCCTGGTTCTGCCACTGATTCCCGGCGAGGGCAACCCTGTGGCTCTGAGGACGAGGCCGAGGACAGTCCAGCCCTGGGGGGATCCGGGCTTCCCCACCGTCCTGCACACAAGCTCCTTAAACGGCTTTATCCACGTCTGCACCCACCTTTGATCCCTGACTCAGAAAAATCTGCTCTGTCCAGTGACTTCAGGAGGGTTTCATTTATGGTTTGATTCGGTGCTCGTCAGAGGTGTGCAGCCCCTCTGCCTGAGCTCCAAAGGACTGGGTCACTGGGGGACACTGCCCAGGCTGACCCCCGGGGAGCGTAGCCCTCCCATACCCTGCGTTCTGTGGGGAGAGGCAGCGTGGCTCCTGGCAGGCTGTCTGTCCCATCCCAGCAGCAGCAACGCTGGCCCTGGGCTGGCGGGTTGTTGCAGGGAGCAGCCTGGCCCATGCGGTTGGTTATATGTGAGTCTGAAACCTGGTTCTGCCTTACAGGCTGGGTAGGTGCCATCCCCTCTCCGACCGGGGAGGATTCTTGTCTCAGGCAAGAGCTCCTGCCCGGGCTCTACTTCCATTGCTGCATTTCTAACATCCCTTCTGGGCTTGACATTCTGATAGCTAAAGCTGGTAACCTTTATTGGTCAGAGTCTGTGGCTGCAACATCTGGGATCGCGGATTCTGTGTTCCTCTTCTGCACCCACCTGGTCCCACAGGCATCCCTCCCTTCTCCTCCCCTGCCCAGTCCCCCTGGTCCATGCTGTGGCCTCCTGGAAATGTGGTCAGAGAGAGGCGCCTGCCCTGCTTTGTCCTACGCTGTTGTCCCAGACATTCACGCAGAACAGAGCTGACGCCCTCAACTTCCGCCCCCCGTTGCCTTCGGGCAGCCTGGCCGTCCCGCAGCCGGAAGGAAAGGCCTGCTCAGGCCCCGTCCTCCCCCCAGGCTGGAGGCCAAGGCATGGTGGACAAGGACCAAAGCCCCCCTCTGCACCTGTCCAGGTTTTACCCTCTCATCTCAGCTCCCCAATTCTCCCAAACCTCCTTTCCTCCCACTTACCCGACAGACCCCTTCATCACCAGCTCCCAGGATGTCCCTCAACCTTGACTCCTCTCCCCTAGGAAACACACACTGCACACCGCAGCCTAGGACACAGCCCCTCCTCAGTCCGGGGTCTTCGGAAGCCTCTTCTCCTCCAGGGTGCACTGACTCTGTCCCCCAACTCCCTCACAGTAGCCCCCCATCCCTGCTCACTCGCCTCGTATCTCTTCTCCCGACCCTTTACCCAAGACTCCCACAGAAGGACTGCTGCCCCTTTGGGCCTTTCCAACTCAGGTTCTGCCTCCAGTCAGCGAGCCACAGGCTGGCGGAGCTGGCAGAGCTGGCAGGGGCTCTGTTGTGTAGATCTGGACCAGCAGCCTTGGCATCTCTTAGGAGCTTATTAGAAACGCAGAGCCACAGGTTGCACCTGAAACCTACTGAGTCCAAAACTGTTGTAACAAGATCCTCCGGTAATTTGTATGCACAGTAAAGTTTGAAAAGCTTCGCTTTCGTCTAGCCGATCGTTGCCCCCAACACCTGCCATTGAATAGATGTGGACACTGCTTGTTCAGGACACACAGCTTGTCAACTGAGCTGGGACTGATCCATAGCCCTGGACAGGCTGCTTCCACCCCTTCATCACATCTCCAAAACGAATGGCCACAAAGCTGCAGTCCAAGCTGGGGACACGGGAGCACAGAGAGTAGGTATACACGGTGCGGAGCTGGGGTTCAGAGTTCTTCCACAGGGGCCCTCTCTGTCACATCACCCCCTACCCCCACCCAGGGCCCTCAGTTCTGCTCTTACCTTGCCAAGCTGTGGCCACCAGCAAGGCCAGCAGAGGCCCCGGGTCCATGGCTTCTGTGGTGAGGTGACAGGCTGCAGGGTGGGCATGCACTGGGCTCCAGCTGCTCGCTCTGGAGGGACCAGGAATGCTGGCTGGACCTGTTCGCTCTGCACTCCACCCACTATTTGTCTTGTTTCCCTCTTCTTCCTCCTCCTCCTCCTCCTCCTCCTTGGGCTGATCCCCTTCTTCCCCTTTTAGCAGGGCAAGATAACCACAGAATTTGGAAATCTTAGGTCTTCAGAAGAAAACAAAGCCATGACCCCCAGGGGGAGGGGTTGGAGTCAGGGGCAGGGCCAGCCTGAGCCTGAGGGGGCTGGCGGGGTTTGGGGCTCTCCAAACGGCCCTGGAAGAAGAGACACCCTCAAGATAAGAAGTCAGTCAGTAGCACAAATGGGTATTTTCAGAGTGGCCAGGTGCCTCTGGCTAAGCCAAAAGGGAGGTTAGGTTGGTCTGGGACAACTTGATAATAGCAGCAAGAATATTTCATTTACAGGACACTCACCAGCCAAGCCATTTACATTCATGATCTCCTTTTGTCCCCACAAAAACTTTATCTGGTAGGTACCATTATCATTCCCATTTCTCAGATGGAAAAACTGAGATTCAGAGAGTTCAAACAGTTGAACCTTGCACATATTTACGCAGTTTCCAAAGGGTGGAGGTGGGATTTGGATCCAGGCAGCAGGGTTGTAAAACTGCCTTTTCATGGATTCACTGTCATTTATTTATTTTAACAAAGAGTCTAATTGTGCTGCTATCGTTCTTAAGAAAAATAGCATTTCTCTGCCCCTTTCTTTCCTGGAGGCAACTGCTTTTACCCCTTTTAGTTGATCTCTTAAATATTTCCTTTCTTATTTTTAAATAACATGGTTGTAAAGTTACTTCCTGAAGCTAAAGAGTCCCAGTATAACATTGACCCAGGAAAATGATCATTCTTTCCATGTACTAAGATATATGTAATGTATTTATGTGTGTGTGTGTGTGTGTGTGTGTGTTTTCTTTTTTCAGGAAAGTGTTTTGAACCTTTAGTAATCATGAATACTAAAAACTGACTCAATAAGAAATAGAAAATCTGAATAGACCTATAACTAGCAAAGAGGTTAAATCAATAATGAAAAACCTCCCAACAAAGAAAAGCCCAGGACCAGACAGCTTTGCTGGTGAATCCTACCGAACATTTAAATAAGAACTAACCCAATTATTTTCTAATCACTAAAAAAAATAGAAGATGAGAACACTTTTCAACTCACTGGGACCAGGAGTACCGTGACACTGAAGCCAGACAAAGAAAGACAACTAGACCAATATCTCTTATAATTATAGACGCAAACATACTCAACAAAAATACTAGCAAACTAAATCCAACACATATTAAAATGATTACATATATGACCAAGTGGGATTTATTCCTGAAATGCAAAGATGATTCAACACATGAAAATCAATCAAATACACCATACTAGTAGAATGAAAAAAATCCCACATGAATCATGTCAATTGATGTAGAAAAAGCCTTTAACAAAACCTAGCATGCTTTTACGGTAAAACACAAAACAACCTAAGAATAAAGCACATTATTCTTAACATGATTAAGGGCATATATAAAATATTTACAGCTAACTCGTGGTGAAAGATGAAAAGCTCCCCCCACCCCCGCATAGGTCAGAAGCAAGGCAAGGATGATGCTTTCACCTCTTCTGTTCAATAGTGTACTGGAAGTTCTAACCAAAACAATCACAAAGAAAAAGGAATAAAAGGCATCCAAAGGAAAAAGTAGAACTATCTTTATTCATAGATGACATGATCTTATATATAGAAAAATTCTAAATAATCACACACAAAAAACCTCTACTAGAGCTAACAAATGAATTCAGCAAAGTTGTAAGATACAATATCAACACAAAAAACTCCACTGTATTTCTATACACTAGCAATGAGCAATCCAAAAACAAAAAAATTTTTAATTTTATTTGCAATAGCATTTAAATGAATAAAATGCTTGGGAATAAATTTAACCAAACAGATGTATGACATATACACTGGACACCCTAAAACACTACTGAGAGAAATTAAAAAGACTAAATAATGGAAAGAGATTTTATGTTCATGGATTGGAAGGTTTAATATTTTAAAGAGAGCATATTCCCCAAAGTAATCTACACATTGACTGCTGTCCCTATCAAAGTCCCAGTGGCCTTTTAATCAAAAGTGGGAAAGCTGATTCTCAAATATATATGAAATTTCAAGAGACCCCAAATAGTCAAATCAATCTTGAAAAAGAGCAAAGCTTAGAGCACACTTTCCAATTTCAAAATTAACTACAAAGCTACAGAAATCAAAACAGTGTGATATCTGCCTAAGGATAGAAACATAGATCAACAGAATAAAATTAAAAGTCCAGAAATAGCCTGGCTGATGTAGCTTAGTTGGTTGGAGCATCATCCTGTAACCAAAGGACTACAGGTTTGATTCTTGGTCAGGGCACATACCTAGATTGTGGGTTTGATCCCAGTCCAGGTGCAGACGATCCCCGGTCCAGGTGTGTTCAGGAGGCAACTGATTGATGTTTCTCTATCACATTGATGTTTCTCTCCCTTTTTCCTCTCTCCCTTCCTTTTTTTCTAAAGGCAATGAAAAAAAAAAATGTCCTTGGGTGAGGATAAAAGAAAGAAAGAAAGAAAGAAAGAAAGAAAGAAAGAAAGAAAGAAAGAAAGAAAGAAAGAAAGAAAAGAAAGTCCAGAAATAAACCTTTGTATCTATGGTCAATTGATTTGCAATGAAGATGCCAAGACCATTCAATGTAAAAAGTTCTGGTCAAGGTACTAGAGTAGGTGGACACTGTATTCACCTCCTCCAATGACCACATAAAATTACATCTAAATTATAGGACAATCATGCTGAATAAACATCTGGAGACTAGCTGAACAGAAGTCCTATAACTAAAGAGATAAAGAAGCCAGGCTGAAACTGGTAGAAGGGGCAGAGGTGCAAAAGGGGCTGGACCCACACCCAAGTGTGGTGGTTGAGAATCCAAAGGGATATCTCAGCTGCAGTGGTTCACCCTCCCCCTTAGAAGTGAGGGGTCTCAGCTTCACACCAGGCTTCCCAACCTGGAGCTGCGGTGCCGGGAAGAGGAGCCCACATAACTACTGGCTTGAAAATCAGAGGGATTCCATCTGTCCGGGTGAGATGTAGGGCTGCTGGAAACCTAGGTGCCTTTATTTTTTTTAAATATGTTTATTAATTTTAGAGAGAAAGGAAGTGGGGGCGAGGGACAGAAAGAGAGAGAGAAACATCAATAGGAGAGAGAAACATCAATCAGTTGCCTTGGGCACGCGCCCCCAACTGGGGATGGAACCTGCGACCTAAGTACGTACACGATGGGAATTGAGCCCTCGATCTTCCAGTTCACAGGACAGTGCTCCAACCAACTGCGTCGCACTGGCCAGGGCCTCAGGCGTCTTCTTAAAAAGCCAGTGCACAAACTCTAGCTTGCAGACACTCACCTTGGGCTCCAGCGGAGAGACAGTGGCTCGAGGGGCACCTGAGACACCCAGGAAGAAACAGTTGTGCGGCATCGGAGTGAGGGCTGGAGGGACAACCGCTGCTTTGCAGAGTTGAGCCCTCCCGAGTGACCAAACCTGAACCTGTGACTCGCTCCACCCTCAAGAATTCCTGGGTTGGGGCCCCACAACAAAGGTCCACAGGCCCCAGGCGGTGGTGGCTGTCCTCCGAGTACTCTTCAGACCTTTGCTTGGCGCCCTCAGGCTCAGCACTGGCGAATCTGTATTAAACTCATAAATAACTCTCACCACACCCAGGTAACTCCTTGAGACCCCGCCCTACCCAACTCCTGCACAACCTGAGGCTCTTTCAGCGCTGAGGAGCCTGGGCTCCCACAGCAGTCTTTCTTTCCTTCAAAATTCAAGCTTGGGGTGTGCCCAGAGACTGACGGGGAGAAACTTGGTTGTGTGGCTTCAGGGTGAAGTCTTGAGGGACAGCTGCCATTGTCCCTGTGTTGAGCTGTCTTCCCACATATTTGACAAGTGCCATCTTTCCTGTGTCGAGCCCTACCCTGACATGGCCAAAACCGATCCTCCCTTAGCCTGGAGAATTGGTGAACTCCACCAGCTCCATCTTGTTGACTCCCTGGGACCCCAGCCCACCCATCTAGTGCATAACTGGAAGCTCTTTTGGTGGCTTTGCAGCCTTTTTTAAAAAACTCATGAGACATTTTGATCAAGCATTTGGGGGGGTGCCACAGACATGCAGGGAGAAACTGAGTTGTGTTGCTTCAGGGTGAGGGCGGGAAGAACGGCCACTATTGTCCCTGTGGGGAGCCCTCACCCCACAAATCCAAACCTGGTTCTGCATTAGCTTGGTGAACTCCATCAGCTCCACCCTCATGACTCCCTGAGACCCTGCCCCACTGCAAGCTGGCAGGTGGCAGCAGGTCTCAGGGTGCCTTGGGCCTTTTGTTGACCTGCCCCAGGCCTAGTACTGGTGATAGCCAGCCTCAGTTCACAGCTTGGCTTCTTCCATCCAGGCCCAGCACAGGCAGCTACCAGCCATCGCTTCGTAGCTCCTAACAGGCTTCCCTATGCCAGTCACAGGGAGTATCTCACACTGTCTTGCCATGGAGCCACCCACAAGTCCCCAGAACCAAGACACCCAGTGGCCAGCTTCAGACTACAACAGAGCGTGACCCAGTCTGCTCCACAAGCAGCATGCCCAGAGGGTAGTCTCAGCAGGCAATAAGCCCTGCTGGGGTGAATCTGTCTCCGTGGAGTCTGCTCCCACACAACAGACCGTACGCTGTGGTCATAGCCAATTCTCACAGCCAGTCAGGACTGAGGTTCAGTCCCACATTGCCAAGAGCAATCAGGGCTCAGCGACAACAAGAGGGTAAGCACAACCCACACAAGAGACACTCCTGGAGCACACAGATCAGGTGATCAGGGAGACAGCGCGACTGGAGCCCACAGGACACCTACTACGTAAGACCACCATGCCAACACTGGGAGACATAGCAGGTCTACCTAATCTATCTAATATGGAGAAACAAATACAGAAAGACAGACAAAGTGGGTAGAAGAAGAAGCATGT